GGGCAGGGCCTTTACCTCTGTGGGCACTGGGTTGTGTCTCCTTAGGACACCCCTGCCCATTACTCTCTCCCTCTCCAAATGGGGAGCGTGGCTGGGACTCCCTAACCTCCTGCTTGCGAGGCCTCTCTCTGGCCTCCGAGAGGGTCAGTGTCCTGCCCCAACCCATGAGATGACACACTATAATAGCCACAGGATTAACATAGCAGGCATTGTCTTTCTCTGACTATAGGGTGGGTATTATGTGTTCATCAACTGTCCTAAAAATACCCAGTAAACAGGTGCAGCCCCTGTGGCTCCAGTCCCCTGGGATCTGTTGGCTTCTGGCTGGAGATGAAGATTAGGGCAGGGGAGAGGTGAATTAGTCTCAGTGAGTTCCTGGCATGAAACTTGGGTGTTTTTTGGAACCCAGGGAATCTAGATTCCAGGAAACCCACCTGGAGTGGCATGCAGAGTGTCTGCAGACCCTCAGACCTCCCTGAGCAGAAAGGTGGGCCCTGCTGCCACTGCCATTCTGCTCAGCCCTGGAAACACTCACTGGGGTCAGCCTGCAACACTGCTCACATCACTCCCCACAGCCAGGCACTCTCCTATCCCACGTGCACCCGAGCCACCGAAAAACCCCAGAAAATTGAGTCTTTAGCCCTCTTGGGCTTTTGGAGCATGGGTTTGGGGGCCTCATTTCCATAATGCCTTATGAGAGATGCAGGGTTAGCCCAATGGTCCTCTTCCCCCAGCTGCTACTTGCCCCTCTGGGCCTTCCCTGTGGCCCCTTGCTCTCCCTCATTCCCCCTCCCGGTCCCATCTCTGTTCGGTCCCCACACCTGGTCTGGCTGTTCGTTCTTTCCCTTTCTGCAGCTTGAGTCTCCCCAGGTGGGTGCTGGTGTCACTCAGTCGGTGGCACCTATGTGCACAGAATTTGCCTCTGCTCCTGAGCCACAAACTCGCGTGGCTTTCAGCCTGTGTGCCTGTTGTGTGCATCGCAGCACGCATCTGCCCTGTGAGGTGTGTGTGTGTGTGTGTGTGTGTGTGTGTGTGTGTGTGGTGGGAGGGGTGGAAGCGAGGAGGGGCAGCAGGAGGGGGCAGTGGGTCTGTTCTATTTTTACCGGCCAGTTGCTGCTGGCCACAGTTTTCATAGCCTCCCCTCGGCTCTGCCCCTCACAGTCTGCGGTCTACAGCGAGGCACAGGCCAGCCCAGCTCCACGAGGACTGAACAAGGTAAGCGCCTGCAGCCCAGGACTTCAGATCTAGGTTGATCCCAGGCAGAGAACCTGGGGCTTTTGTTTAAGGAGAAAGCGAGGTCTTGGAGCTGGAGAAAACCGTTTCTTGCCTGTACAGTTGGTTTGTTGGTAGAACATTCCTAAAATACTCCCACAGCATTTTGTCCCACAGAATGACCTATCTCTTGCAAAACTGTTGTGAGAGGTGAAAACTTTTCCTGGCTATTTGGAAGCTGGGAGCGAGGAGAAGAATCTTCCATGAGGTTCCTTAGGAGCCCCAAGGCTGCCTAAGGGATGATGTTTTCACACAGGATGCCCAGCAGGGTGTGGGAGGGATAGTGCACCCAGGGGAAGGGGTGGCCCTGCGATCAGAGAGCTGGGTGAGCGCTCAAAGTCAGCAATACCTGCAGCGGAAGAGAAGGAGGGTGCCTGGCGTGCAGGACTCCCAGGGAGCATAGAAGGCAGGGCCAGAGCCCCCTGCTGAGCAAGGAAACTATCTTGCTTCTGTGTTCTTTGTCTTTGAGTGAAGCTGTTAGCTCCCTTTGCCCATCCCTCTGTACTGCAGCACAAGAGCAGGGGAGGGCAGACCGGCAACCCCTCTTGACCGCTCCTGCTCAGAGCTCCTGGCTCTGAGGAGCAGCAGTAGATACTGGGGGTCCTCTTGGAGGAAGGCAATGGTGGCAGCATTTTGGGTTGAGGCACAAGAGCCAGTGAACACATAAGCCAGGGCAGTATCCACAGGGCAACCCAAGGCTTGGGGCAGGGGGCCATGTGGCAGTCCCTGACTTGGGTGAGGGCTGAAGGCAGCACCTACCACCGGGTTTTGGAGTCACAGTCCCACAGCAACTCTGAGATTAGGCTTTGCTGTTCAGAGCTCAAGATGGGGGTATGGTATGTGGTAGGCAGCCCAGCACCATGGGCTTGGGAGTGTTAACCGTCAGGCAAGGAAGACAGGGATGCCCTTGAATGGGGTTCCAAGGTCAGGGGGTGGGGAGCAGGGGGAAGCACATGAGCCTAACTAGATACTTGTGGATGTGATCATTGGGTGTGCAGAGATCAGTTCTTTCCCCTATATATACACACTCTCTCTCTCTCTCTCTCTCTCACACACACACACTCTCACACACAGTCACTTACACACATTTACACACACAGACTTAATCTCATAGTCTAGTTGATAGTCCCTGCCATGCTGCAGAGCCTCAAGAAAGGGAAAGCCCAGCTCTGAGGCAACCACCAGAGACTCTTTGCTCCCTCCCACGGGTGGAGGATTTTCTCATTATCTCCTTGCTTGCTACTTGTGGAGGAGATGGAATCCTGGCTCTCCAAGCCTTCCTGTGCTATCTACATCCTGACTTATCAGTCCTTGCTTGACTTCCACAGAGCCTGGCAAGGGCCCCCGTCTGGTGGGTGTCAGAGCACAGGCTGAGGCCTCTTGCCTGACGTGGGACCCCTTGGTCTGGCATTTGTCAGTGAGGCAGGCTGGGGGCAGGTCCCAGAGCTTGGCATGAGGTGCAAATTGGCCTTGGCAGGTAGGGCCCCACACTGGGGACAGTTGGCTCTCTGAGGGAGAGAGGGAGGCATGATCGCTGCCAAATGCCCACCAAGGACAAGGCACATCCCAGGGAGACAGACACAGACCTGGTGCCCTCTGGACACTGGCATTCCTGGAGGCTGATGATGGACAGAGGGGCCTGGAGGTGGCTCTTCGCCAGCTGGTGTTTCCTTTGGATTTCCTCAGCATCTTTGGAGAAGCAGAGCCCTCAGAATAAGCAGCTGCCTATAAAATCTAATTCCAGTCAAGCATCTCAGGAATTCATGGATTGTCTCCATACCCCTCCCTCTGTACCCCAGCATGACAGCTGAGACTCTGGGGTCACACTACCCCTCCATCTCCTCCACCCGAGCCTTCCCCTCCCCTGGTGGTGGAGGCAGAGGTGGAGGCAGAGGTGGAGGGAGGCCCAGAAGGCTTTCTGATCCACTGGTAGATTCAGGAGAGGTGGCCAAAGCATGTTCACTGGGGCTGGGACAGTGCTTCATGGGCACAAAGTGAAAGGAGAGAATTAGGGCAGAGGAAGGGGTGGCTCTGGGATGAAATTATTGGCAGGCACTTTGCAAGTGTACTTTAATTCCCCGCCTCCCAGACCCCACAACCAGGTTCTTGAACCAAGCCCACACTCCTGACCCTGAGCTCCATGCCTGCCCTCCCCTCCACACACACACTGGGCTCTCCCACCCTTTACCTCACAGCCTGGCTCAGAGTTTCTGTGCGCCCCTGCACACCTGCTCCCCACCTCAGCTGTCCCCTTCGTTTCCCTGAGCTTTTGCACAGTCCCTCCCTCCTCTGGCATTGGAATGCTCTGTGTCCAGGCCCAGGCAAGACGGTGAATTATGTCTGGCTTTGGAACATCTCCCTCTGCAGCCTCATGGACCTCCTCTTTGGCCTGGGCCCGAGGATCACCTGGTCAGGGGGCTTCCAATTGTGCTCCATGGCCAAGTATCCTCACAGAAGACCACAGGGCTGCTATGGTAACCCCCTTCAACCAGTGCCATTTGGCTCTTTTTGTTTGTTTGATTTTTAAGTTCAGGAATACATGTGCAGGATGTGCAGGTTTGTTACACAGGTAAACATGTGTCATGGAGGTTTGTTGTATCAATTATTTCATCACTCAGATATGAGAGACGTATCCATTAGTTATTTTTCCTGATCCTCTCCCTCCTCCCACCCTCCACCTTCTGATAGGCAAAATGCCATGTTGCTTATACTGATTGGATTTATTTTACTTCCAAGTAAGATTTGGTTAGAACAAAGGATTCAACCAAATAAAATTAATTAAATATTATTTTAATTAATTAATATTAATTAATAATAAACATCAAGTGGAAACCCACTGATTTAACCCCTAATTTTGCAGAGAGGAAAACCAACCCAGAATGGGGAAAGACAGACTTGGGTGAACACAGGATTTGCCCTGCCTCGCGGCTTATCCTCCCCCACTCAGGGCCTCTCACTGCCCCACCCTGGGGGTGCCAGTTGTATTACCATCTGTGGATGGAGTTGTGCCACATAGCAGCTACCCGTATTCCAGCATCCACTCTGCTCATTCACTTTCCAGGCCTTCCTCTCTCTGAGCCTTTCAATGACCACTCTTAATCCACAGGATAAAATCTAAACTCAGCCTGTCCTTCAAGGCCCTCAAGAGTGAGCTACAATCTCATTTTTTTTTTTTTTTTTTTTTGAGAAGGAGACTCATTCTGTCACCCAGGCTGGAGTGCAGTGGCACGACCTCGGCTCACTGCAACCTCCGCCTCCTGGGTTCAAGCAATTCTTCTGCCTCAGCCTCCTGAGTAGCTGGGATTACAGGTGTGCACCACCACGCTTGCTAATTTTTGTATTATTAGTAGAGATGGGGTTTCACCATATTGGCCAGGCTGGTCTTGAACTCCTGATCTCATGATCTGCCCACTTCGGACTCCCAAAGTGCTGGGATTACAGGCATGAGCCACTGTGCCTGGCTGCTCTCACTTTCCAAGCATATTTCCTATGGACTCCATTCTGTTCTCCACCGGGCTTAGCAAGCTTTATCTGGAAAGGGCCAGATAGCTTTGTAGCTCACATAAGGTTTCTGTTGCATATGCTTAAAAAAAAAAAAAAATCTTGCAACTCTTTAAGTAAAAACAGGCAGGGGCCCAGGTTAGGCTTCTGAGCTGTAGTTGGCTGACCCCTGCCCTGCAACCCTGTCCCATCTTGACCTGCTGGAATCCAGTGTGTCTGATTTCTTCCTTTTGTATTCTGACTCTCTCTCCTCGGCTGGGCTCCTAAGGCCCAGCTGGGTGGGGGGCAGGGGTTTCTACTTTCCCTCATGAACTGTTCCTCTGTGCCCCCAGGTGCTGTCCCACTGCCACCATGCCGGAAGTGTAAGTAGTCTCACTGCCCTCTGGGGCCCCAGGAAGGCAAGTCCCTTTGCCACAGACAAGCCCCACAGTGGAGGCACCGTGTTTTCAACCCCCAAAGCTTTCCCCTAAGAGACCAGGTCCTCAAACAGGGACAGCACTTGATGGTTTTCCCCGTGCTGCCTGTGTCCTCCCAGCCATTGAGCAGAACTCACTCTCAGGTTGCCCTGGGAGCGCCTTTTTGGCCTGTGCCTCAGAGTTTTCCTGTCTTGATCTAACACGTGAATTGCGTGTACCAGGCCACCACTTAACACTGACGCAGTAGGTGAACAAAGCTTTGGGAATTTACCCACACGCCCACGGATGGATGCTTTCACGTTACTGGAACCCTACCCTAAGGCTTCCCTCCCCTTCCACCACTTCTCCCCAACTTACCATGTCCAGTACCTCCCAATAAGAATTCCCGGTAGTTCGAAGGGCTGTTGAGTTTTTATTCTGTTCTGCCGGAACCTTGAACTGCTCCCCCTGCCTGATGCCTGATGACTGATGACTCTCTGGCTCACTGTTGTCACCGGCCCCCTCCTTCCCCAAGCTGGTCTGCGAGGTTCTGCGGCCGCACATGTAATCCTCATTGTTCATACTCACTCTGTGTTCTGCTCTTTCCCTGTCCTTCCTGTGATGGATGCCTGAAGCGAGGTAAGTGGTATTTGGGGTATCTCTGTCCTGGTTAACTCTTCTGACTAGTAAAGGTGGGAAGGTGGGGTTGGCATCTGAGGAGAGGGGAGAGCTTGTATTAAGCCCTGGTGGGAGTCTGGGAGGTGTAGGGTATTTAGTGGCTGAACAAATTCCCAGGAGATGGAAACATCAGGGGAAGATTCTGGATGTGGGGTTTCCTAGTGTCCAGGGAGTTGCTGTGCCAGTGTACAATGTCACTGGAAGGTTGTCCTGGGACTGGTACTGCAGCAGGGCTGGGTGTGACTCTGCATCTTTGCTGAGCACAAGCTCTTCCTCACCCACTCTGAGAGCTGGTCCAGTCCTGGGAGGACCATCCTATTCCATGCAAAGCTGATCCTGTGCAAAGCTATATTTGAGGGGTAAGGGATAGTCATTGGGTTATTCCACTCTTGCCCAGTGGCTGAACATTGAGCGAGGAGCAAAGAGATGTCCTTAAATCCCTCAGGTGTTAGATAACCCTGACACTGGCCATTCTATACACTCCAGACTTAACAGGCTACTGAGATCACAGCCTATATACAGTCCAAGGATGGGGATGGCAGGGATAGGGATCGGGACTCAGGGATGGCAACAGTGCGAATTAGCAGTATTGATGGAGGGGACATTTGGCACAGAGATTCTCGGAAAGAATTGAAAATGTTACTTTTGAACATTCATATGAATGTTGAAGTTTTGCTGAGGCTCGTATTTAAGTGAATCCTCACTGACTGATGGTCAGATGAGGTGACCATCAGCTCACTCACCAAGTGGTGGGGAAACAAGATAGCAGTAAAATATTTGCCATGTGTACATTACGGTGTGTAAACCATGGAGGTAATGCTTAGAGTCATAGGCTCTTTCTTTTGAAATCACACTTATCTGAAATGTAACAAAAATCTTTAGGAGAGGAAAAGACAAACAAACCACTCTGAACAGTCAGAATAGAAGTTACACATTCCATTTGCTGAAACTCATCCATTGTCTCTCATGAGAACTTCCCTCTCAAAGCCTAATCACTTCTACTTTACACCCTGGAATAACATTGGAGAGCCATGCTCTCCCAGCTTGCAGCACATTAAGTCTAGGTAGGATGCTTCCTGCTGGCAATGAGAAGTGATCGCCTGTGGCCCGGAAGAGATACTAGTGCTCGAAAGGCATCACAGTCTCATTAGTTGGGGGCCAAGCAGCCCTACTCACCTTTGCCACCCCTGAGGGACCACTGTCACAGGGCTAGGACTAGTAAGCAACAACATGTTTAGGATTTCTGATAAGAAGATTAAACAGTGGTTTTATATCTTAGAAAGATTTGGATGGGTGATGTTAACATTTTAAAAAGTTTTGAGGTCTACATAGATACATTTCATTTATTTGGGAAATTCACAGCTTATTTATGCAGCATGATAGATCATCAAGGTATTGCTGTATTACTACCAGGAGTGTGAAAACATACATAGCTTTTATGCTTTTCAAAGGATTTGCACATCCATGATCTCATTTCATCTGCAAAAACTCTGTGAACTAAGCAAGGGGGGGGTCATAATATCCTTATTTACAGATGAGGAAAGAGGTGCCTGTAGAAGCCATGTGACCCTCATAGTATCTTACAAGATTTCAGCAGCAGCAGAATCAGAGTGGGAAGTTAAGGCTTCAGCCCCTAGGTCAAGGTAGCTGACTGCAGCCTTGTCTGAACTGCAGGGGTTAAATCACAAAGATGAGCTTTTAAGGCACCACAGGGTGAGCAGAGGATTCTGGATAAAGACAGAGAACCCTAGCTGGCACTTGTCTTGGCCTAGACCAGAATTCCAGTTCTGCAGCCTCTGCTTCACCACCTGTCTCTCTCTCTTCTGGCTCACAGAGAAAACCCAAGATCACTGCTTCCCGCAAACTCTTGCTGAAGGTGAGGCTGGGGGCTGGCTGCAGGGGGATGCCCAGTGGGAGGCAGAGGGGCAGAAAGCCGACTCTGAAGGGATGTGGAGGGTTATGGAAAGGAGAAAGGAAGGAGGCCAGAGTGAGGATGATGAGGGGCAGAGGGAGTCCAGCATTGCTGGAGCCAGTGCCAGGCTCAGGTGGTCAGTGGGTGGGATCCTCGAGTATGGATCCTGGCACCCACCTGGGGTCCCTAGAGTAGGTGGTGACCAGCTTCAGAGTGGGAAGCTACTCGTGCAGGCAGAGAGACTTCCTTTATTCTCATATGTGTTTTTCTCTTTGGAGCTTTGTGAGTCAAAACAGACAGTAAGTGGGTAAGAGGAAGACTGTCAGGGGAAAACAAGTTCCAGGACTCCAGGAACATTGTGTGTGGCCACTTGGTGTACCCTCACGCACAGCCTGTCCGTGGCCGCTGCATACACTTCTACACTGGACGGCGGTCTCAGAGTTGGCCTAGCCTGGGGCTGTCCTCACCTCATTCCCTGATGCCGGGTGGGAGATGCGAGGCCCCCAGCTCAGCAGGTTTGTTCTGTCCAGAGCCTGATGCTGGCCAAGGCCAAGGAATGCTGGGAGCAGGAGCATGAGGAGCGCGAGGCTGAGAAGGTGCGCTACCTGGCAGAGCGCATCCCCACACTGCAGACGCGTGGCCTGTCCCTCAGTGCCCTGCAGGTGAGCCCGGCAGGTGGGGCAGGGCAGGATGGGGTTGGAGGCACTATGTGGGTGGCTCCAGGGACCAGGCGGCAAGAGCCTGAACTAACACCAGCTCAAGGTTCCATAATTTACAGGGCACCCCTCACTTCCATGGTCTCATTTAATCTTCACAACCACCTGTGAGGTAGGAACATTACAGGCACTGAACTGAGCCTTAGAGGGGAGGCGTGACTTGCCTGGGCTGGGCGGAGCCAGGGGCCCAGTTTCACAAGCAGTTAGGGTGGTGGCATGGAATGGGGAGGCGGCCAGGGTTTGGAGAAGCCCCACTTCTCCAAGGACTTGTCTATCCTTTCTTAGAGCTTGGTCTTTAACGTTTTCAGAACACTGGTAAATTATTTAAATGCCAGTGATTACAGAGAAAAGAGACTGGAAGGAAATACATCAAAATGTTACTAAGTATCCCTGGGTGGTGGTATCACTAGGTATTTTAATTTTTATTATTTTTGTTTAATACATAGTTTTCAAAATGTCTAAAATTAAAACATTACTTTAATCATAAGAAAACTATTTTATTTTGCTGGGCACAGTGGCTCATGCCTGTGACCCTAGCATTTTGAGAGGCTGAGGAGGGAGAATCACTTGAACCCCAGAGTTTGAGACCAGCCTGGGCAACATAGTGAAAGTGAGACCTTGTCTCTATAAAAAATTAAAACAATGAGATGGGAGGATCACTTGAGCCCAGGAGGTTGAGGCTGCAATAAGCCGCGATGAAAGAATACTTTTTTTTTGAGACAGAGTCTCACTCTGTTGCCCAGGCTGGAATGCAATGGCATAATCTTGGCTCACTGCAACCTCCACTTCCCATGTTCAAGTCATTCTCCTGTCTCAGCCTCCTGAGTAGCTGGGACTACAGGTGCATGCCACCATGCCTGGCTAATTTTTGTAGTTTTAGTAGAGACGGGGTTTCACCATATTGGTCAGGCTGGTCTTGAACCCCTGACCTCAGGTGATCCACCCACCTTGGCCTCCCAAAGTGCTGGGATTACGGGGATGAGCCACCATGCCCAGCCAAGAATACTGTTTTTTGTTTTTATGTTGTTGTTGTTGTTTTGAGATGAAGTCTCACTCTGTCGCCAGGCTGGAGTGCAGTGGTGTGATCTTAGCTCATTGCAACCTCTGCCTCCTGGGTTCAAGCAAAAGAATACTGTTTTTTAAGAAAGCACGACATACAGACAGGAGAACAGAGGGCATACCCTTTGAACTATTGCCTGTCATGAGCCTCAGAGTGGAGGAAACTGTCAGCTCCTCTCTGGATCCCAGGTCTTGCAAAGGGGCTGGGGAGAGGGTCAAGCGCTGGAAACTGATGGCTCTGTTCCCCTCTTCTTCGCGCCTGCCTGATCCATCTGCCGCCCCCAGGACCTGTGCCGGGAGCTGCATGCCAAGGTAGAGGTGGTGGATGAGGAGCGATATGACATTGAGGCCAAATGTCTCCACAACACCAGGGAGGTGAGTCTAAGGAAGGGAAGGGACATGGCCAGGATGGGCTAGGCAGGGGCATGGGCACGGATGCATCAGCCATGGGAGGTCCCCTCCTTCCGCAGGGCCTGGAGGGGGCCACTTAAGCAGGAAGCTTTGGTTTCTCCGCCCTAGCCCCATAGGGCTGGAGATGGGCAGAGTGGATAATCACACATGAAAAGTACAAACTTCCTCCTTACCTGCCATGTGGGCTCATCAGCCTAACAGAAGCCGCTCTCTTTATCCACCCACACAAATAATCATATGCCTGTTAATAACGTCTTACCTTTGTGAAGTGCTTTTATGTGTGTTATAGCCTTTGATCCTCCCTATAGGCCTGTGGATGAAGTAGGGGTTATTTGCACCTTGCAGAGGAGAACACTCAGGATCACAGAGGCCAAGGACTTGTCCTAGGTTGCACAGTGGTGGTCCTGGGACCAGTGCTGGTCTCTGGCTCCCACTTTGGTACTCTGTGCTCCCTTAGCATGGAGTGTGGGAGGATTAACTCCATCCAGACCCTGCTCCAGTGGGGTGGGGCAGAACAGGGAAGGACAGGGCTCCTTTGGGTCATTTGTCCAAGCAGTGAGGACGGGGCAGGGAGGTAGCACAAGTCACTTCCCTCCTTCCCACTTCTGCCCACCGGGAATGATATGTGGGGTCACCAAGCTCCTAAGAATTCCCTCTAGAGATCACACCCTGGAAATTCCTCCAGGGGGTTAGGACCTGGAAGTTTATCACCCTGCTGGACCAAGGCTGTGAGCTGCTTTGAAGGCTCACTGGGGAGGAATAAGTTAGAAGCAGGGATGAGGCTACAGGAACAAAAGGAAGCAACCCTGCACTCCAAATAGGGCTTCCAAACCAGACAAGTCTCAGTCTGGTGGAGCTACCGCTTTTATTCAAGGTTACAGTATTAGCAATGGCTAATAGGCTTTATCTGTCTGATTAACTATCCATTTATCAGCAAATTGTACAGTGGCTATTTGCAAAGGGGTGGGTGGGTCTGACTGTCCTAGAGGAGGGTCTCCAACTCTTGGGCTGTGGACCAGTACTAATCCGTGGCCTGTTAGGAACTGGGCTGCACAGCAGGAGGTGAGCAGTGGGTGAGTGAGCATTCCCACCCGAGCTCTGCCTCCTGTCAGATCAGCGGTGGCATTAGATTCTCACAGGAGTGTGAACCCTATTGTGAACTGTGCACGCGAGGGATCTAGGTTGCACACTCCTTATGAGAATCCAACTCATGCCTGATGGTCTGAGGTGGAACAGTTTCATCCTGAAACCACCCCACCACCTCTCCGTGGAAAAAGCGTCTTCCACAAAACCAGTCCCTGGTGACGAAAAGGCTGGTGACTGCTGATAGGTCTGGCTTCAAGGGTGGACAAATTAAGGTGTATCTCTGGCTGGAACCCTAGCAATCTGAGGTCCTTAGGAAGGGTGCCCTATGGCTAGCTCCCTCTCCAGTGAGCCCCGGGCGCTTCTCACCTGCAGATTAAGGACCTGAAGCTGAAGGTGATGGACCTCCGTGGGAAGTTCAAGCGCCCGCCCCTGCGTCGGGTCCGTGTCTCGGCTGACGCCATGCTCCGGGCCCTGCTGGGTTCCAAGCACAAGGTGTCCATGGATCTGCGGGCCAACCTCAAGTCTGTGAAGAAGGAAGACACAGAGAAGGTGAAGTCCCTTTCCTCAGAACCTTCCACCCTCTTCCCTACCAGCTTTCCCCTTGTCAACCCCTCACATGGCCTCAGGCAGGCCCAGGAACTCCTGTTGGAGGCCAGTCAGCTTGACAGAGAGAATGTTCTAGAATGTTTTGGAGGACCAGTGTGGGAAGAAAGAAAGAAGACTTGCTCCCTTCCTTCAGGCTGTTCCCAGTCTGATGAAGAAACTAGGACATAAAGAAAGCTAGACCCCAGACTGAGACATGAAGTAAAAATTTTGTTCCCAGTGTGAAGAGAACGTGGAGATTTAGGGTAATGTTGGAGGTGACTGCCTGGTCACCACAGGGAAAGGAGACAGCAGCTCATCTTGGTGATAGCCACACACAGACATTAGAGAACTGAGTTCAACCACCCAGCAACAAATTATTCAAAGTTGGTTGAACTCACAGTATATGTGCCCCAAGTTGATAGGCTCTGTAAGGAACAGGGATGACAGGAACATAGTCTCTGGCCCAAGAAGCTTCAGAGGAGAAGAGATAAGCCAGGCAGTATACTGAGGAAATGGAAAAGCAGTCACATTCGCAGGGGAAGGCTTCTTGGAAGAGGTGGCCTTGAGCCTGCAGAGTGCCAGACCAGGAGGGTGGCATGGGGCCTGGGAGGAGGTTTTGCTGAGGTGCATTGAGGTGGGAACTAGCCCCGTAGCTGCCACTATCACCCAGTGCTCCCAAGCCACACAGCTTCCTGTGGGGCCTTGGCTTGGCCCGTGTCCACCTGCCTGGCTGAGTCCTAGGACCTAAACAGCTGGGGAGGGGCATTGGGATTTCTTATCATCTGAGGAGACTGGTTTTCTATCACCCCGCTTCTCTTGAGCTGGGGGGGGCATCCAGCCTGGTAAGTCCCTGATGTGTGTGCCATTTGTCCACAGGAGCGGCCTGTGGAGGTGGGTGACTGGAGGAAGAATGTGGAGGCCATGTCTGGCATGGAAGGCCGGAAGAAGATGTTTGATGCTGCCAAGTCTCCGACCTCACAATAGAGGTACCTAGAGATCAGCTCCCTTCTCTGGGGTCCATCAGAGTCTAGAGGATAATGAGGGAGTCCACGATGGGCAGGCAGGTTGTACTCAGTGTGGTGCAGGGACAAAGGCACTGATGAGACTGATTTGAGTCGGCTCTCCTGGGCTCATTCCTGGCTCCAGCACCGTGATACGTTGGGCATGTCATTTCTGTTTGGGGACCCTTTTTGTTCCCCTCCTCTATGAAATTGGGGGCTGTGTTAAATCAGTGGTTCTCCAAGTGTGGTCCCGGGACCAGCAGCATCTACATCACCTGGGATGCAAATGATCACCCCCCCACCCCACGTCCACTAAATTGGAAACTCTGGGGTGAGACCAGCCTTCCGGGCGATTCTGATGCACATGAGAGTTTCAGAACCACTAGGTTAGAGGATCCCTGGGGTCCCTTCATCTCTGACTTTCTGAGAATCTATGCTCTTTTAAATACCTCCTGGTGATGTCCTTTATTTGTGCTCCCTGCGAAGTACCCAGCACTCACAGTACCTGTTCCCAAGGAGCTACCACTCAGAGAAGCTAAGACTTCCCACTCTCTGAGGAAAAAGCTGGAGAAATGGCCAAGCAAGGAAATCAGGCCACATAAAACCCTCTGTGGAAGTGCTGAGAGAATGTGCAATAGGGCAGGCATCCACCAGATAGCACTGGTCGGAGCAGGCTTTCTGGAGAGGAGGAGCTCTCTGAGGACGTGATGGGCAAGCGTTAGCTGATAAAGGGAAGGGCACGTTAAAGGGCTGATGGCGCAACAGAAGCATGGAGGTGGGAATTAACCACCCACAGAGTAGCATGGCAAGGCCAGGTAAGAGCTGAGGGCCGCAGTGCGGAGGAGCAGTGTGAGGGGTCCCAAAAGGGGAGAAACTGTGCCTGTAGGCTGAGAAGCTGAGGTCTTGTAGGAGCCCCTATGAATGAAGATCCAGCCAGGGGTGCGCTAGGGGTGAGAAGCCCTGGAGACTGCATGTGCTGTAGGTAAGTCAGGGATTCATGCACTGCACACAGGTCCCCGGGAACTGATGGCTTCGCCTCTTTGTCCCTACAGGCCAGCTTGCTGTGCTGCGCTCTGAGCTCCTGCTTCATGCTTCTTCTCCAACCCAGCTCACTCACTTCTCTGCCCGTGTCTGGAGCATCCCTTCCCACCTCCCCCCTCACTTCTTCCCTCCAGCCTGCATGCCCTCCTCTGGAACTGGGATTAAAGAGATATCCAAGAGGCAGGACAAACGCGAGTGTCTGAAGACCTCACCCCAGCAGGGTGGGCTCCCACCCATCCATGAGGCACTTGGGGCTTCCCAGCTACCCTGTGGTGTAACAGGTGGAGGACGAGGAGGGAGTGAGAGCACCTTTCCTCTAGCCCTGTGCCACACCCCTTCTATGTGTGTACAGTGTCCACAGCCATCTTCATTAAAAACCCAGTTTCCTGGTCATTTCTGCAGCTCTGACTGTGAGAACGGAGAAGAAAGGGAAGACTTGGGGCTTGTGAAGAGAGGGCTGTGCTGGGCTCCAGTCAGCCTGTCTGCAGTCCACAGTCCAGGATCTGAAGGGAGGGCTAAGGAATTGGTGGCTGCTTGCCAGGGTCCCCTGGGGCCCCTTCTGCCGAGTCCCTGTGATGTCACACAGCACACACTCACCACCCAGGATACTCAGCTCACCAGAGCCCTGACCTCCGAGAACTGACCCTGTCCTGCCCCTGACTCTGGCCATCAGAAGAGGCCTCTCCATTCAGAGCCGCTTCTCCTGCCGGATTTCATACTCTCCTTCCTCTGCAAAGCTAGATTAACTCTCCCTGATGTCTGCTGGGTGTACCTGACTGCTCCGGGCTGAGAGGTCAGGGCACTTTCAATCCCTCACCTAGTCCAGCGGCACAGGGCAGGAGGCCTCACAGAAGAGATACTTGCAGTTCCAGGCCTGGCCACCAGGTGACTCCTTCCTTCTGTCCTGGGCACTCCTGTCCGTCCGGCCTCTGCTCTCCCCACTTTCACTCACCCTCCTCCCAATTGTTTCCCCTTCACACTGCTGTACTGGTCCTATCCCCCAGGACTGATTCTTTCCCGGAGGGAGGGCGGCCACTTATCTGTCCTCTGGCTCAGGTCCTTTCTCCATCCCACTCACTTCTGGGTCCAAACCCTGGTGAGGGCATAGGGCATGCTGGGGTGGAGTGGGGGTCTGGGGCAGCCCCTCTTCCCCCATCATACTTGTGAGAGAGGCTCCTGTGAAGCAGAGACCAAAGTTCTGACTTTCCTTTTTTTCTTTTTTCTTTTTTTGAGATGGAGTCTCGCTCTGTCACCCAGACTGGAGTGCAGTGACATGATCTCGACTCACTGCAACCTCCGCCTCCCAGGTTCAAGCGATTCTCCTGCCTCAACCTCCTGAGTAGCTGGGATTACAGGTGTGTGCCACCACACCCGGCTAATTTTTGTATTTTTAATAGAGACAGGGTTTCACCATGTTGGTCAGGCTGGTCTTGAACTCCTGAACTCGTGATCCGCCCACCTTGGCCTCCCAAAGTGCTGGGATTACAGGCGTGAGCCACCGTGTCCAGTCAAGTTCTGACTTTTCAGGGCAGTGGGATAGTGACTTCTAAGCTAAGCCTGCAAGGGAAGTGGCTGGTCCCAGATCTAGGGTCCCTTGGCTTTTTGACCACCGCAGCACTGGCCCCAGGAGGGGCTGAGTTATCAGAGCAGCAATCCTTCCACCCACCCTACTGAGTCCCCATTCTGCCCTCAAATCCCACGTATTATCTGCCATAAATGCCAGGAATTGGTACAAAGTGCAGTGCCAGCTACTCCCTGGGGCATGGTCTGGCTCCGTGGGCTGCTGGCCTGCCAGCCCCTTTCAGAAAACATGGCAGTGGGAACCAGCAACTTGGGCTACCTTAGGGGAAGCAGCACTCTGCCCAGGGTTCTTGCTATAAATAGGTCAGTGGGCAGAGAGGCAGATGTGTGCAAAAAGCACAACCCCAATCACATACACAAACCTGCAGGCACAGACACACCCAGTCTCAATGCACGAAGTTGGAGAACCTGACAGGGCTGGTCCAGGCCACAGAGGATGGGGTTAGGCTTCATGCCTTCATGCCCAGGCAGCCACAGAAACCCACTCTTCCCCGCCTCACAGGGCTCCTCCGGTTGGCCTGGGTCCAAAGCAGTCTCCTTGTTTCACCTTTTCCAGCCCTTCCCTAGAGCCTGGCCCCAAGTTCCAGAGTCAAATCCCAGTTTTGCAGTCAACTATTAACCTGGGGCCCTGGCAGATTGGGGTATCCACCCAGTCATGTAAAGGCAGGAGACCTGCTCTGGGCCTGACTCAAAGCAAACACGTGGGTGCAGAAGGCCCGTGGGAGGAGGAGGAGGTGGGGCCCACTCAACACACCTAAGCCTGTGGCCCTCTAGGAGGGGCAGAAGAGCCAACCAGAGGGTTCCTGGAGGTCATCGGGTTCCTCCTTCTGCTTCCAGGCAGGAACAGACCTAATTCATCTCCTATGAGGATGGAGCAAGAGCAAATATAGGCATAGACACATCCAGAGCGCAAGGATTGAGAGGCCCCGTGGACAAGGGGAAGGAGAGCTTGGGGGTGGGAGAGGGATCTGTGGAAGTATCTGTTGTAGCCAAGAATGTGGCCTGAGGGTGAGAGGCCTGGCCTCTGGAGAGCCCTGATTCTACTCCAGTCCTCTCTTACCATGGAGGGTCGACACCACCCAGCCTGGACACAACGCTAGTAGAGCTGGGAGCTGGGGCCTGCCACTGAGTAACAGCTCACACATGTAGCACACTTATGTGTCAGGCACCAGTGTGTGCACCTTCATTCATTTAACCTTGACAACAACCCTAGGAGAAAGGTACAGCTACTATTCTCATAGTACAGTGGGGAAAACTGAGGCACAGAGAGGTTAGGGACTTTTCATGATCACACAGCTAATAAGTGGTGGGCCCAGGATTCAACCCAAGAAGTCTGTTAGAATCCATACTGTTATTGACTATTTTAATAACAGCATTTCAATAATAGTAATATGTGATATTAAATGCTTTATCTGAATTATATAATTGCATTCTCACAAAAATGGTACATTTGTTAGCTGAAATTTACAGATGAGGAAATCCTGGAGAGTTCAAGTAGCTCACTCTAAGTTACAGGGTTTGCTAGCTGCAGACTGGAGACCGGATCCCAGGTCACTCTGCCTTGGGGTTGCCCTTTTCTGAGAACAGACTGGCCTTAACAAAGCCCAACCAGCCACTTTCTTGGAAGGACACAGCTGGGGGTTAAGGGTCCTGCATATGTACCCGGAGAGTCCCCACATCCCTAGTGAAGGGGAAACATTCAAAGGAGGTGCAAGTGACATCCAAATGGGCTAAGGTGAGGCCTTCTTGCAACATGGGGCCCAGGCTGAGGGTAGAGGGATGGGTGCTACTTGGGGGATATCTGTTATCAGCACACAATAGCTGGGTGGGCATCCCCTCTCTCTGCAGCTGGTGGAGATGGGCCTGGTGCTCCTCTCTGCTTGGTAGGAATGACCAGGGCAGGATGCCACCTGCTACACCCTTGCCTGTCCCAGAGCCCTTGGGGGACCAGCTGTTGCCCCCACCTTTCTCCACAAGGTGGCCAGTCCCCACAGGGCAAGGAGGCCAAGCTCAGCTGTGTGTCTGAGCCCACTCAGCAGCAGGTATGATCAGGGCAGGGCCCAGCGCTCAGGGCTGCTGGGGCTAAAGTGCCTTGCTGAAGGAGGGGCAGAGTTAAACATTAGCCACAATGGCCCCCCACGAAGTGAGTCATACTCCCCACAAGGCTCTGGGCTGGGCAGCCGGGGGCCAGCGGGGAGCTTCGTTCCAGGTGGGTGACCAAGCTGCGGAAGCCCGGGACAGTTCGCTAGGACCAGTGCTAATGGCAGCCTCTTCTCCTGACCCCCATCAGGTCTCTTTCCTCAGACATCCCCAAAGCTTGTCTGCCTGCGGGTCCTTCATTAAAGATGAGGGACAAGGGTTTTCTCTTCCTTCCAAGATACACTTCTAGGCTGGCCTGTGGGTCCCCTGAGACCAAGGCTGAGCAGGGTGAGCCTCGAAAACCTCACAGCACTGGCCTAGAGCACTGTGGTCAATGTCTGAAGGACCAGAGAGGGAGAGTGACTTGCTCAAGGTCACAAACCTAACTGGAACTAGGAAGTAGGTCCCTAGACTCCCAGTCTGAGAAAATTGGACATTGACAGGGCTTTGGTTCCTGGCCAGAGGCAAAGGCCCAGGGACCCGAACAGGCTGCCCATCTCTGGCCTCAAGTCAGCACCCCAACTGGCTCCAGTGCCAACCACTGGCCTCTCTCATTGGTTGGCACAGGCTGGGTGAGCCTGGCCCTTTGCTCTGGGTTCAGGAGAGAGGTATGGCCTTGCCTGGCAGTCAGGGGAGGTGTTCCAACCTGGGAGCCCCTGGGGGAGAAGCGTGTGTGTGAACGCTTGTGGCCACTCATCAGAAAGGGTGAGCATGGTGTGTGTGCGTGGGCATGCCGAATGACCTGTCTGCCTGCCCTGAGTGTCACAGACACCTGGGTGTCCCCTGTATTAGTGCCTCCCAGATGCTCTTCTGACTGGCTCTTTGTGACCCAAATTTCAACTGCTTCACCCCACAATGATGAAACCAGAGCCACAAATGTAGTGAGATTTTCATAAAGCTAAATGTATTCAGTGGAAATTCCTCTGATCTAAAAGCATGCATGTCTTTATTTCATTACTGGAGTATTAAATTAGCCCTTACTTATGGAATAGGAGGACAGTAGGTGGCAATTGTTTTCTACCTCTCTTAGTTCACAAAATAAAATGGTGGCAGCACAATGTCAGTATTTACATTAAACAATATTGTTAGTTTGTAAAAACAAAAAGCCAGGGAGCTTACCGTCCTGGATTCTTTAGGGTGTGGGTCTTATCACTTCATTCAATTCTTCCCTTCCCCCAAGAGTGCCACAAGCATGAGAGTTGCTCAGCTGAGACACATGAATGGTAACAGAACTGAAATGTCAGGATGTGACCTCGAGCCAGCTGGTTGGGGCTGGGGATCCCCCTAGATCTCCACTCTATCCTCTCTGAGAAAGGAGAAGCTGCCCTATGAGCCTTTTTTCTGGGGGATTCCAGAGGTTGAACGTCTGTTCTGAGGCTCCTCAGAACCTCAAGGGAGGCGACGAGAGTGATGACCCCTTGCCCAACCACTGGCTGAAAAATCTTGAAATTCCCTGACTTTCACCAGGGAATTTCCAGTTGTGCTAAGCCCTGCCTGGTAGAATCTCCCTGGAGGAAGTAACCAGCACACACATACGCTTTTAATGTACGTATAAAGAATCGTAAAGTGAATACCCATCTGCCAACCACTCATTTTAAGAACTAGGATATTGCACATACTTTTGAAGCCCTCATGTGTCCCTCCCCCATTACAATCCCTTCCTCTCCACAAAGGTAAATAC